TGTGTGTGTGTGTGTGATGGCGCGAGGCCGTAAGATAAACACCTCATATTGCAATCCCTATTTTCCAATCTTTGTCAGTCCATTTCCTTGAGATCCTCACTCGGAAAGAAAAGAAAAAAAAAAACACACACACACGATTTTTCTTAAGTTGCGTAAGTCTGCCTTTCACTCCGTCTTCCACACTTCCTCTCCATCACTTCCTCTCCATCACTTCTTCTCCATCACTTCCTCTCCATCACTTCTTCTCCATCTCAGCTGTCAAAAAGCAAACTTTTCTTTTTCCTCACTCTCTTTATCTCTCTCTACATCCACCACTCGCTCTCAGCAGCATTTTGTCTCCATTCCCTCTGCTCCTGGTCTAAATAGCGTCTCCTCCGCCCCCTTGCCCTCCACCCTTATCTGTCCAACACCTCCACGAGCACCCCTCCGTCTGAACCCCACCTGATACGGTCGAAGCCCTTCAAACCGATTCCCGCCTCTTCCTTCCTTCTCGCTCAGAGCAGAGTTTCTTCCACCCGATCTCGCCCTCTCCTCCTCACTATCTCAGTTCCTCTCCTCTCCCCCCATGTCTTCCTCTCTCCCTCCCTCTGATCCCTCTCTATCGTATTTTCGCCACTCCATTGTCTCAGCCCATTAGGCAGACACAAATCCGTTTGGAGACTGAGCCTGAGCACAGCCCCCGTCCACACTCTCCTGGGCCCCGGTGAAGCCAGGAGAGAGCTCTCAGGAGAGGCAGACTCTGGCTTGTGGCCGGGGAAATCCATTTAAACCCTCTGCCACAAAACGCTGCTCTTTCCTGCCGCCTGCTGCACTCGGGGCACGTGTGCTTAATGACTGATACTCTTCCTCCTCGCACACAAACACACACCCGACGCCGTGCATTCCTCTGCTCCCCCCGCTGCCTCCGTCTTCCTCCCACACGCCTGCGTTTTCCACACAATCAAACATACATTTTAACACGCGAGTGCAGCCGTCGCCTCGCTAACGGGACGGTTGGAGCGCTCGGAACAGTTTTCAGGACGTACGGTTAGCGAGGTCGGAGGTCGCATGTGTCTGCAGAACTGGAAGGTTTGTGGATGTGCTATGAGCGAATGTGGCGCACTGTACAGCAGCCTCTGTGCTCGCAAGACTCGTCCTAAATGGGAGTGGACGTTCCCTGCCATTTCTCCCTTTGGAGCTCTAATGAGAAGGAACAGAGAGAAGAGCTTCAGTGGTGGCCACTGGCCTCGCCGTGTCACCGCGACTCACGTCTCTGCTGGTACAGCGACCTGTTGAAACCAGAAGGTCAGCAGATAAACTGGAGGATGACGACACGGAAACAGCGACGGCAGAGACGAGACTCTGTGAGCTCCTGAATCCAGCAGTGTTCAGCGAGGACTCGGTGGTCGTCAGCGTCTTTGTCAAGAGGAGGTTTTTCACTGCAGGAGCAAAGTAGCGTGAATACAGTCGTGACTTGATAATCAGACACTAAATGAAAAACCTTCTTTTATGTCGGATATCAAGGCTGTCGGATTGTCAAGACGGAGGTCCAGATACGAGGAGGGCTTGATGCTGGAAGGCTCATTAGTTGTTCATTATTGTTCATAGTTGTTATAATAACTAGTGTGTTGTTAGAACACTACACATCGCTGGATTTTACGCCTAACTGACTGGTGGGCTGGTGCATATCCCGGCCACTTCCACCCCGGGGCAGCGCTCTGACGGGGTGGAAGTGTCCAGAACACACAGGCAGTACTTGGCTGCTGATGCTAGTTTAGTTAGCGCTCACACTTCTGTTTCCTCCATCGGTGGTGGCGGGGGAGTGGCAGATACGCTCCACCGTTACCATCCATGTTTACTTCCATAAACGCTGAGCACGCTCGCTGCGTGTGACGTCGTCGTGTCCTCTTCTGCGCATTCGGGACACTTTTGGGTCGTATGAAGTTCACACAGCAGATCACATACAAGTCGCATTGAACTGGAAACGTGAAGGTTTAGGATTGTTAAGGGTCGGATTATAGAGTCATGACTGTATTTACAAAAATGGCCCCTTAGCTGGACTTTTTAAATCTTTCTACTTCTACATGAATGTAAGAACAGCTGCAACCAGAACTCCTAAAGCACCAAAACAACGTCAGATAGAAGCTGCTGTAGTTAAAAATAGAACAATGGAGATGAGTTGTGTTTGGATTGTATGTTGTCAGAGAGACTGCCACTCGACGAGGACATCGAGAGGGCAAAACAAAAAAACATGGCACTTGTTTTCCTTGCAAAGTTTAACCAATCAGCATCTGCCTTCTCCGCGTCAAGACCTGCACAGCAGTATTTCAGGAGCACTCAGAACAAACAACTCTGCAAGAGGTGCTTTTTTTTTTTCTTCTGCTAAAAATGGCCGTGGACGAGGTTGGTGAAGCCCTACAACAGCCTGTAGGTTCCTGCAGTGAAAAACAGCCTAAAGTTGTCCTCTCCCTGCATCCATGTATGATTCTTCCTTAAATGTTTATTGTTCAGTACAGCTGCATGCAGCTTTATGCACAAAGTACCAAATGAATGAGCTGATTTTGTGGAATGGAGTCCAAACCTAGATCCCAGGCGGACAGAGATAAAGCAGCAGCAGATTGCTTTATCCCATTAGGCAAGGCCGAGTAAATAGGCAGAGATCTAGCTCTCTGTCCTAGTGCAATCTCCAGCTGATCCTGTCACTGGCATCAGCTCTGTTGGCAGTTTGTCTTTCAAGTCAGACACCCCAGCTTAGCCTGCCTGCCTGCCTGCCTGCCTGCCTGCCTGTCGGTCCGTCTGCACACAGAGTTAATGCCGAAGCAGTATGGCAGTGCAGGAGGAACTGGGAAACCAGTAAAAATGTCCTCCATGTTGTAGGAATGCTTAGTGATAAGAGGACAAGGCAGCAAAGGAAGCTCCACTATCTGATCTTTCAAGGGTCACGAGTGTATCTCAGCCGATCATATTGTTTATCGGGGCCATCGCGGTGGACGAGAGTCGTGCCGGATCCAGCAAATGTCAAATATACCCCGTTTAAGTTAACATTTAGAAAACCTAATAAGAAAAATGTCGGCAGTATTTCAATGTGTGCAGCCGGTCCTGAATCTTTAAATACGTCTTCAGTCGATTGGAGAACAGCTCTGTGTGCACGGTGACGTAATCAGCCTCATGACAAGACTTCACAGGGGTAACAGCAGTACAAGCATGATTGACAGCAAACTGCAGCCAATCGAAGTGAAATCCAGCAGAGACTTAAGGTTAGAGTGTGGACTGACCTTGTGAGAACCATTTTACACTACGGTGGCAGTTGGACAAGGAGATGTCTCGTCTGGGCTGGATGTCCAATAACAAGAGCACAAATTAAAGTGGAGGTGTAAACGCCGTTGGACAATTTGGGTTTTTTTTTTTTTTTTTCTGACAGCGATCAGTTGAAAACAGTTTATGCAGCTGTCACATGTAAGCGCAGGTTTCTGCATTCATCAACACTTTCCATTCACCGTTTCCAAGGTGAGCCCCTCTTAATATTCCAACTCTCAAACCACCTACACATGCTTCCTCACGCAGCCACTGTAAATGGCGGCGCCTTTTGTTTTTACATAACCGATGATGCCGCTGGGTGCGAGCGTCCTACCTTGGCAGCCATGATCATGGAGGAGCCCCCGCGTACTCCGAGGATGGGGATGTGGGTCTGGGCTGAGATGAAGTCCAGGATCTGGGCGATGGCCTCCTGGTCGGTGTCGTCCCCGAACACCACGCCCTGCAGCCAGTGCTCCGTCATGAGGTCGCAGATGCTCTTGATGATGCTCTTGGGGTCAGTCTCATTCATGGTCAGCACCTCCACGTTGGGCGCCAGGTGGAGGAAGTCTTCCTTCTCTCGGCCGCCGGCCAGCGCCATCTCGCTGGAGTTGCCCACCAGGACGACGGCGATGCTGAGGCCGCGCAGGATGTTGGGCAGGGCCATGTGGTGGGGAGGGGGCTGGGGGATGGGCACGTAGTGGCCGCCCCCACCGCCTCCCCCACCGCCTCCCCCGCCCTTCTCTCTCCGTGAGTGGCAGGCCGGGGGCAGGTGGAGGAGGCAGAGCAGCAGGAGGAGGAGGGACAGGCCGAGGGGGGCGCGGCGGTGGAGCGATGGAGGCGGGGGCGGATGGAGGGTCTGGACCGATTCCTGGTCCTGGGCGACCGAGGAGGCGGTGAGGCGGGCCCCGGCGTGGCCGCGAGGTGGGGAGGGGCTGCGGCATCCGCAGACAGGCATCGTGGAGGGGTGGGAGAGTAATACCTGGAGGGGGGGGGGCAAAACAAGACAACAAGAGAGAAAATAAATTAAAAGAGAAGAAGCAGAGGAGGGAGATGGAGAGAGAGAAGTAGAGGTTAACATAGCACCATGCAACATTGATTGAATAAAGCGAATCGCCAAGAGGCTACATGCTCCACATGAATCAGTGCATATCAATGTCAGATCACAGAAGTGGGACACTGAGGGGAAAGAGCGACGGAGGAAAAGGGAAACCTTGTGGAAAACGAGCCTTTAAGCGCACAAAGAGGGATGAGAGAGGAGGTCACACTTGACACATAAATAGTGCATAAACACACACACACGGTGGGACGATGGCGGACGGTTTAGGTCTAATCTCACCGAGATCAATAATTCATGTGGAATGTTCTGAAGCAGCATTATGGTATATATTATGGAGGATGTAAACTCTCCCTCCAGATGAGATGCTGGCTCCCTGACAGGAGAGAGGGAGAGCGAAGGAAGGAAGGGAGGGAAGGATGGAAGGCAGAAAGGGCAGATGGAGGGAAGAGACGGCTCCACGCCAACTCGGGCCGACTGACAAACTGTCTGGAGCGAGATGAGTGACACGCCAACCCGAGACGCAGACAAACTGACTGACGCCGAAATTGATTAAGTGATTGACGGCGGAGGCGCTCGGGGCAACTCGCGAGGCTTTGATACGATAGCCGCCCTCCTCCTTCAACCCCTACTGGCCTAGTTTAGAAACTCGCAGCCGTTTGCCGTCCGTCCCTCCATCCTTCCACCTCCCTCCCACGTTCTACTTGACCATCCCTCTCTCTCGCTGTCCGACTCCCTCTTCCCTGAGCTTATTTATAGAGCTTTTCATTAACGGGGATGCAGAGGGGGGGGAGGAAGGGCCAGGTAAGGGAGTGAAAAGGGGAAGAAAAAAATAAAGAGGAAGGAAAATGAGATCCAGCGAAGACTAGAGGAGAAAAGAGATGACGGCAGCAAGGTGGAACAGCAGCAACACAGCTGGAGACAAAGGCAGACATGAAAAAGACGCTCCGAGAAAGATGTTTGTGTTCTCCGTGTTTACATCTGAGCGAGTGGGAGGGCATGTGTCCTCTCCAGTTTATCAGCATATAGTCGGTGTAGGTGTGCGGTTTGTGGGAACGGCTGCTCGGCTCTGGGTTTTTTTTGTGGGCAGAGATACCCAGGACGACGACGACGGGGGCGTAGTTGCTCATAAACTCGTTCTGAGCGGCGCTTTGTCTCTCATACGTGACTGCCGTTAACGAGGCAGATGGACGCCACAAAAGGAGAACTAAAAAAAAAGAAAAACAAAACCGCTAAAACAATATCCACTGACAGCTAATAAGACGTGGAAATGACAAGAGAGGAGGAAAAAGCAAGGAGGAGATTGAAGGAGCGATAAAGGGACGCAACGCGGGGATGACAGAACAACTTCTTTAGGGAAAACTAATTGCTGGAGGTTCGTCAGCTCTAATTACAGGTCCCTGTGTTAATAGTCAATTGCACACTCTCCAGGAAGGATGGGGGGGAGGTGGGAGGAGGGAAGGAACGAGGGAGGGAGGGATGAGGAGAGGACGCGGGGATGGGGAGGGCGAGCGAAGGAAACGAGTGAGACGGCGTGTTAAACGAGGGGGACCTTGGCGAAAAGCAAGAAAGATGAAAGAAGAGAGGGATGGAGGAGGAGGAGAGGAGGAGGAGAGGAGGAGAGAGAGTTATAGAGTGAGACAGACAGAGAGAGAGAGAGAGAGAGAGAGAGAGAGAGATGCCCTCTTTGAATCTGGACTTCTCTGGCAGCACTCTGTTTCCATGGCAACAATTAAAATAGGCCTCCATGCGCACACATACAGTTGATGGACACAGAGATACACGAGCACATATTTTGTAAGAGGCATTGATCATGTAAATGCAGCAGTTTAGTCCAGTCCGCTCCGCCGTGCGTCCCTGAAGTGGGCGTATTTTACACACCAGCTCCTCTCGCGCACAGATTAGCATCGAGACCTCTGACACGTTTTACATGCAAACGCACACACTTTATTTTATTTTTTTTTCCTTGCACACCAAACTCCCCATCTCACACTCGCTCCCTGTCACACATACTAGCCTTCAGCTTCACCATCCAACCCACCAACCAGCCGGGGTTCAGTGTCGCTCCGGCCATCATTCAGAAAGACGCGGTCGTCATGAAGTCCGAGTCGAAGCAAAGACACACAAAAAGGCGAGCGTTGACTCGTAGATCACACGAGCGAGGTTGTGACACCGAGTGACCCCATTTCCCCGTCAGCCAGCCCTCGCGTCTCACCCACCATTTGCTCCATTAGCCACACCAGCGCACATAGCAGCCGTATCAGTAACACACGGGTGGAGCGCACATGGCCTCCACCAGCTGAGGACCCCGAAGGCCTCCATGCCTCGTCTTCAAAAGTTTGCTGCAAGCATATTCGACGATGAATAAATTCCTATGCAATCCTCAGCTATGCTTTGAGGGAAATGCATTGTTTGAAATACATTTTAAATCAGCTTATTATTGCAGTTTATGTTGTATTCGTAGCCCGTCGCCGTGGTAACCCAGATACCACAGGAGAGGCTTCACACGTGAAAAAATTTTAAGCCAAACTGTGCTTTTTTTTTTTTTTTTTTCCAAACCTAACCACGGATTGTTTTGGTACCAGCCAAGCGTCTAACATGGAGGTGTCGTTTTGAACACCTACACTTCTTCTTAAACCTGGCCACAGACTGAGCTGAAATGAAACGCCGACACTGATCTCATGCTTAAAAAAATCCTGGGTGGTTTCTTGAAAAATGTAAATGCAGTTAAGTCGTATAGGAATCTAGAGTTTTTGCCAGACAAGGTCACTCTCGCTGATCTCATTGCCTTTTAACTGTGACATGTTTTGTGTCTGATTACCGTAATTTTCGGACTATTAGCTCACCTGAATATAAGCCACACCCACTAACTGTAAAAAAAAAAAAAAAAACTGTGTACATATACAGGCCGCACAGGTGTCCATGTTGGAACATGAGATGTTTACAGAAAGATTTTTTTAACTTTTAATTAAATACAAACCGGTAACACACACAAATACCATAAATGCTTTTTACCAAACAGTTCCTGTAACACTAACTTCGTTACACACTTCCTCAGTCTCTCTGTCGTTGTTGCTCTCAGTGTCACTTTGGTCTCGAGGCAAAATTGCACAAATCCATAAATTAGCCGCTTCGTTGTTTAAGCCGCAGTGTTCAAAGCATGTGAAAAAAGTAGCAGCTTATATTCCGGACATTACGGTAATCCTATCTGGGACTTTCACGTTGCCACATGTGCAAGATATGTGTTGGTATTCATTACAGACTTTTATACGATGTTAAACACATTTTCTGATAAGTTGATGTATTTTTGGTTCCAAATGCAAGACAAATGTCCCTCTTTTTATATTTAAAAATCTTTAAAAATAAAACAAAAAAAACAGCTGCTACCTAAACCAGTGACTCTCAAACTGGGGGTTCCAAAGGTAATTTCAGGGGGTCGTCAGATCATTATTTAAATAAATAAATAAACAATTTATCAAATAAATGCGTATTAGGGCTGTCAAAGTCAAAAGTGTGTACTTCTTCCCACTCCTTTTTGTTAATATTAGGATTTGATTATATTATTATTCTTTTTTTGCTCTTTTTAAAATGATTTTTTTTAGTTGTTCTATTTTTTCCCTTTCATTTGTTCGAAATAAATTCAATTCATTCATTAGGGTTAAATAACAACAAAGTTATTACTCATGCCGTATTAAGAATTCAAATTGGGGGGTCAGGAACACAAACTTAAATCATCTTGGGGGTCGTGGCTCAAAAAGTTTGAGAACCTCTGACCTAAACCAAATTGCCTCGGGTCCAAAAGACCCCAAAAGTCCTGAACAGGGTTGAACAGGTGAACGAACAACGACAGAACCAACAACCAGCTAATCGTTGAAAACTGGTTCCAGGTTGTCTTCTGTTAAAATTGCTTTTCTTGTGTTTGTATTGTAATAAACTGAATAACTTTGGGACTACAGGTCGCACATGAGAATCCTCCTGAATGTAGGAAACAACTTGGGATGAAGTTGGGAAAACGCCTCCTCATGTATTTTTCAACAATCTAATACTCGGACTAATTTGCTCCATAAGGACGGACGGCGTGAATGCAAATGAGCCTCCGACCTGACGGCTGAATGCTGATGACCATGGCCTGATGGCCATTTGCAAAGTAATCTGGGCGACATGTTCCTGCAGAATATGAATCCGTCTTTACATTTAAATGCAGAAAACACTCACGCAGCAGTATTTAAGAGCGCCTCGGTCTGTGTTGGTGCACACAATTAGGTAAGAACGCAGCGTTTCAGGCACCAACCAAACAAAACCAGGTCCTAAGCGGGCCCACATGGATACTAAAAGGGGTAATTAATGAACTCCGAGGTTAACGGGGCTCGTATTGTCACGGTGTAAAGTCGACAGGGCAAGATATGAGGCATGACACAGGTACTACAGCTCAGTAATCGGCTCCTTGATCTCTCTTTTCTTTTTTTTTTTTATTCGCCAGCTATGAATCACGCTAACAGGAGCCTGATGTGGTCCTGTATGGAAAAATAACACGCATGCAACACGCAATCAGGGAAAATCGGCTTATCTGTCAATCATAAAAAAAAAAAACCCCGCCTGGCTTTACAGGTGAACAAACAAGCGGCGCGTTGTTTGAGTTTTGTATTTAACGCATGTGAGCGAGCAGCACTCCGTTCCAATCACAACATATTTGGCTCCGGCGGTAATAAATCCACACAGGACAGGAAGCATTACCGCCGAGCCGAACGGCTTGTGCGCTCGTGGGCAGCGGGAAAATGTGTGTGCAGTTGATGAATTTGGTTTGAAAGGTTGTGAACAGCGCTTGCAGTGGCTTGCTCTCCCTAATGCATTTTTAGAACTGACATTTATGTTGGTGGGTTTTTTTTTTTTCTGTGTGTGTG